CTGTTAGGAAAGAAGAGCCAGGGGTAGAGCACATGGTTTGGACCTGAGATCCCAGCACTGAAGTCCCTTGACACAGGAGACAGAGAGAGAGAAAGCTGCACCACTTTGTTAAGATGGCAACAAACAGTGAGGAGCAGTGGCAGAGAAATGGTGGCAGCAGAAGTAGCAGAGCCAAGAGGCTGGCAAGAGACAGCAACCCACAGAGAGAGAAAGCTGAGTACCTTTGAGCAGGAGACTTGCTGGCAGAAGCAGGTTCCTCTGAGCATTTATCAACTGAACTAAAAGAGCTTTGTAACACTTGCCAAAGCAGGGAGCAGACCAAGGATGGTGAACCCAAGAGGATGAGGGCCAGAAGGAGAAGTACCTGTGGGCACTGTTGAGAAGAGGCTGTCTTGATCAAAGAACTGTATCCTGAGTCATTTCTGATCCTGAATTGTAAACTATCATTCCCCATGGCAGTGAATACTGTCTGTGAGTTCTGTGGACATTACAATGAATTATCAAACCCAACAGAGAAGTAGAGAATGTCATAGGAGGGATGGTTGGTGTTAGAATTGGTAGAAAGGGTGGACATTGGTGGCATGTCTGGCCTCTGCATCATAGGAATCTTCCTTGGGCTATTGATCTTGATATTCCTTCTTCCCTGTGAAGTTAAAGGAGGTCGGACACTGCTGCCATACATTTTTACCATGAACACTCAAAGTTTTTTCCCATATAAATTAATGGTAATTGGTTCTTCACTTTAAGCCATTTCAGCTTATGAAAGATTTCATAGGAACGCTGTACTTGGGCAGTGGAGAAAAACTGTATATTCAAAATTCAAGATACATACAATGGTTCATAAAAACAAATGGGCACTACTTTGTGACATGCATCAATACACTATTATTATTATTATTATTATTGCATTATGTTAAAGATATTTCAGTATATGTAGAAGTGTTTCTTTAAAATCTTTTATGCATAGAAAGTTACACTATATACTGAGACAAACGTCTGACTGATGACATTAGATACAAACTGTTTTAACTTACTTACAAATTCAACTTATAGACAGACTTAGGAAATGAACTTCTTTATCATCCAGGAGCTGCCTGTATTAAAAAAAGAAATAAAAGCAGAATCACTGGGCTTTTTCTTAACTAGTGATGTAATCAATAATATCTAATACAAAAGGAGCTTCTCTGTAAGTTAATTTCAGAGGTCTTGAAGAATAAGGGCCTAACTCTTCATCCAGGAGATTTGATTTGCACCATTTTCTTCAGCCATATCTGGAAGTCCATATAGTAAAAGGTTAAATATAGAAGAGTTGGCAAAGTGTGAACATGAAGAAATGCAACATCATTCTGCTATCATTATCCCCAAATCCAAACCCATTGCTATGGAGTCTGTTCCAACTTATAGTGGCCCTGTAGGAAAAAATAGAACTCCATAGGGTTCCCAAGGTTGTAAATCTTTACAGAAGCAGACTACTTTAACTTTCTCCCACAGAGTGGCTGGTGGGTTTGAACTGCCAACTTGGTTAGCAGCAAAATGCTTTAGCCACTGCACCACCAGTGCTATTATTATTTATCACAGTATTAATTTAATACTGTAAAAAGTTACATATAATGATCTGTTTGTCCCTTGAAGGCTGTGGCAGTGCCAAATACCCCTTCACACTTCTTTCTTCCTAATGTTCTTAATACTGCCTAAAATACTAGTTGTAATTTTTAAGAAATGAAATGTTTGAAATATTATGTATATTATTTCTGAGGACAGAACACAGACAATTGTTTTTATTTTCCAAAACTTGAAAATGCTTCAGTTTGGAATATTAAAGCAGAATAGAAAATGTTAGTCCTCATGTATAAAATTAACTCTAGATTTTGGAAAAGAAAAATAAGCTTGTCAGTTGTAAAACCATTTGGGATCTGTCATGGATTGAATCGTGTCCCCCCAAAATATGTGTCAACTTAGCTAGGCCATGATTCTCAGTTTTGGCATTTATGTAATGATGTAATTTGGCAGGTATGAATATGTAATCATCCTCCAATCATGTGACCATGATCAATGTGATCAACCAATCAGTTTTAAGGGGATTGTGGTGGGATTCAATGTCCTTATTCAGATCACAGCCATGATTCAATGTAAGAGGAGTTTCCTTGGGGTGTTGATTGTATCATCTTTATTTTATAAGAGGTAAAAGGAAAGTGAAGTGGGCAGAGAATGAGGAACCACAGTGCCACCAAGAAAGAAGATCCAGGAGTGGAACATGTCATTTGGACACAGGGTCCCTGGTCTAAGAACCTCTTAGACCCAGGGGAAGATGGATGTCAAAACACACTGAGATCTCCAAGGAACGCCAGGCCCACAGATGTTGAGAAGAGACATCTTACCCCAGAGTTGACAGAGAGGGACAGTATTCCCCTAGAGCTGGAGCCTTGAATTTGGACTTCTATCCACCTAACATGTGAGAGAATAAATCTTTGTTTGTGCTACTCACTTGTGGTATTTCTGTTATAGCAGCACTGGATAACTAAGACAAGATCCAAGAGATGAAAACATAATTGCTGGCATGTTTAGTAACTTATTTGTAATTTACATATTTATTTGTGTTAAACCATGTATTATCCCTATGCAAGTACCTGTCTGATATGTATATATTTGTGTTTTTCCTTTAAATTTCTTTTTATTCTTTGTTTCTCTTATCAACTATATTTCCAAAATTTTGTCTCTGGAGGACACAGGTTTTAGATTCCCCATTATAATTTTTGGATCTGTAATTGTATTGTAACAAATCTATTCAGTTCTGTATTTTTGAGAAGATTTTGAAAGGGGAATAGGTACCTGAATGAATCTTATAAAGACTTCTTCACAGTGTGGAGCCGTTATTGCCCTGTATACTTATCTCTTTTCAGTGCTATGAATCATCATAAATGGCAGATTCATTACTGTGACATGCTTCAATGTTTGTGTGAGAACTGTGCTGAGCACTGAAATGTGAAACAATCCATCTTTAAACATTTTACACACTGCTCCTCTACTGTCTGCATTGACCCAACTGGGATTTCTTAGTGATTGCTCTTTTGTTGGGTCTTGGAGAATTCAAAGCTATGAAATTGAGAACTCAAATTTGAATACAACATTAAGAGAAGTATAAGCTATAGTGAATTTGTGTGTGTTATCTAGATCATTCTGCAAATGCATTTTGCCCTTTTCCTTTACTTTAGTCACGTATCACAATGTATTGGTGAAACTTGTTTTGTTTATTCTAATTGATTAATAATTTATACGTTACTATGTTTGCTTAAATAAAGTTAAATTTTATTTTCATCGTAAGAAAACAGCTTAGGAAAAAGGCTTCCATAGAAGCCTCTTTACTTTCTATGTTTAGTCATCCCCATTTTGAAAATTCAATGCTGTTTGTTTTTTTCTTTTCTTTTGCAGATAAAGGTGAATGTGTAGAAACGTTTGATTCCCAAAGTACAGTCTTTGCCAGCACAAAGACCAAATAGGTGAAGGTATTCATCCAGTTCTTTTAAAACTGCATTCCAACTGAAAATCTGAATGACAGATGCTGCAGGCTTTTCAAAGGAACAAAAATTTTAATAAGCTTGATATACAAGGTAAAGATAAAAAGGGAACTAAATTTTTTTAAATAAAATGAAATAAAATAAAAAATCTCAATGCCACTTTTCTTTTAAACCATCTTTCCTTTTCTTGAGGTTGTGGGATTTCCTCAATACCTGATTAATTTCACAAGCAGAGGTTAACAGCTGGCGCTCTAAAGCGTTTGCCGGAAGGTGGCGACATAAACCCTTATGATTAGAGCTGTCCCTGGTGCTGAACACAGTTTCAGAGTTTAAGAGACTCTCAGGGGCCAGCCACAAGGGATTCCACTAAGTTCTCCCTAGAGGTTTATAGTCTCTGGTAAGAAATGCCAGAGGCCATATTAAACACCCAGCATCAATTACAACTCATAGGCAAAAGATTTCATTTTGCTCACTTCAATTAAAAGAGTAATGGTGATGAGAAGTTATTTGTGTATGTGTGTGTATGTGTGTGTATGTGCACGCGCGTGCGTGTGCGCGCGCGCGCTCCAGTGTGTAGATTACAATATGAATCGGCTTTTCCAGATGCAGCTATTTACCGCTCCCTGTACTCAGACACGTCCTTTATAAGTTCTTTCTCCTCTAATTCCCCAAGACTGTGAAGAAAGTAAGTCACATGCAACATTCTTTCCAAGGGAATCAGATTGGACCGTGAGATAATGAAAGGGGGTGCTTTGTAAAAAAGCTGGGACACACTCCATCTACTTCTCATCAATTAACAATGGTTAATACTCTGTATGCCTCAGAATGCCATCCATCCTGTGGTGTTGACACTACTTAAGAATCTGACAGAAATCTGAGGCAATGAGAAGTTAAAAACAAATTCCCCTCGAGTGTGCCTGTGTGGAAGGTGGAGTTTACTTGCTATAATTTTGTCTGACCAGAGAATCTGGTGTGCATAGCTGGTTTTGAGTGTCTAAGGACAAAAGGGGTTTGAAACCAAAAAACGTCATGCTAGAGGGAGCAAAGCAGGAGCCTGGGGAAGGAGACTGGGTGGGGAAGCATGAAGAGGGGAGGGTTGGCGTAGGAGGGAGGGAGATTGGCTGGTGGAGCGACAAACAGGGATAAAGAAAGGAGAGTGAGAAGGGAGAGGGAGACTGAAAAGGAGGGCTAGTTGGAAAAGGCGGGGAGGAGGAGGAAGGAAGCTGGAGAGAAAAGGGTGGAGGAGACAGTGGGAGAGAGAGGAGAGAAGGGTCATAGAGTGGCTGTGGCCGTGGAGGATGGGATTTCTCTGTTCCAGCTACTTCTGGGATTGGAGACTGTTTGCTAGTGGGGAGACTCCAGCTCAGCCAGCCAGTTGGGCAGTAGCAAAGTAAAATGGACAAAAAGAGACAGACGTTACAGCTACCTTTCCGCCGCCGTCGCCGAGCGCTCCGGGAGTTGCTCTCCAGCCGGCTCCACTTCCCCAGTTGGCGTCTTTGAACTCGCTGGACCACTGGAGTCCAGGCAGCGCCTAGAAGCCGCTCTGCGGGGATGCCTTCATTGGAGAAGTAAGAACTTCCGGCCCGGGTCCTTGCATCCTCCCCCGAAACATCCCAGAAGAAAGGGGAGAAAGACCCCAGGGGGAGGAGCAAGGGGGATCCTCGCGCAGATCTTTGTCCCCTCTCCTGGCCCCGCAGGGAGCGCAGGCATGGATGCGCTCAGCTCTGGCCAAGGCAACAACACCACCGCTGCCGAGGGTTCATTTGGAGCAGGCAGCAATGCTACTGACATATCCGACGTGACCTTCAGCTACCAAGTGATCACCTCCTTGCTCCTGGGCACACTCATTTTCTGCGCGGTGCTGGGCAATGCCTGTGTGGTTGCCGCCATCGCCCTGGAGCGTTCCCTGCAGAACGTGGCCAACTATCTCATTGGCTCACTAGCCATCACCGACCTCATGGTGTCGGTGCTGGTGCTGCCCATGGCCGCGCTCTACCAGGTGCTCAACAAGTGGACGCTAGGTCAGGTCACCTGCGACCTGTTCATCGCGCTCGACGTGTTGTGCTGCACCTCATCCATCCTGCACCTGTGCGCCATCGCGTTGGACAGGTACTGGGCCATCACAGACCCCATTGACTACGTGAACAAGAGGACGCCCAGGCGTGCTGCTGCGCTGATCTCTCTCACTTGGCTCATTGGCTTCCTCATCTCCATCCCGCCCATGCTGGGCTGGCGTACCCCTGAAGACCGCTCGGACCCGAACGCGTGCACCATCAGCAAAGACCACGGCTACACTATTTACTCCACCTTCGGCGCTTTCTACATCCCGCTGGTGCTCATGCTGGTTCTCTATGGCCGCATCTTCAGAGCGGCGCGCTTCCGCATTCGCAAGACAGTTAAGAAAGTGGAAAAGAAGGCAGCAGACACCCGTCGTGGGGCCTCTCCAGCCCCGGAGCCTAAGAAGAGCGTGAATGGAGAGCCTGGGAACAGGGACTGGAGGCGGGGCGTGGAGAACAAGGCAGGGGTAGCTCCGTGCTCAAATGGGGCGGTGAGACAGGGTGATTACGGTGCCGCCCTGGAGGTGATCGAGGTGCACCGCGTGGGCAACTCCAAAGAACACCTGCCTCTGCCCAGCGAGGCTGGTGCGGCCCCTAGTGCGACCGCCTCTTTCGAGAGGAAAAATGAGCGCAACGCTGAGGCCAAGCGCAAGATGGCTCTAGCTCGTGAAAGGAAGACCGTCAAGACGTTGGGCATCATCATGGGCACCTTCATCCTCTGCTGGCTGCCCTTCTTCATCGTAGCCCTGGTCCTCCCCTTTTGCGAGAGCAGCTGCCACATGCCCACCCTGTTGGGCGCCATAATCAATTGGCTTGGCTATTCCAACTCCCTGCTCAACCCTGTCATCTACGCCTACTTCAACAAGGACTTTCAAAACGCGTTTAAGAAGATCATTAAGTGCAAATTCTGCCGCCGATGACAGAGTAGCCAGCGAGTAGGGGGTAACAGAACTCCTCCTGTTGTCCTTTGCCTCCTAAGTCCCCCTGGAAACAACCCGTATAACTTGCTACTTTCCCCCTTAATTCCTTAGTTAGCTGCTCAGTCCGCGTGCTTGCTGGCTTTGTCCGCCTCGCGCCAGGGGAGGGCACTCTGCGCAAAGAAAGAAGGGCCCGAGCTCCTCCAGGAGACTTTGGCTAAGACTTTGGCTTCAGCTTCAGTTTTGGTTCCAGCAATTGCCTTCCCCCTTCTTCTGCCCACCCCTCAAGCAGAAAATCTTTGCGGCATAATGTTTAAACCTCGGTCATTTAGGGCGAGAAATACAAAGAGAAAATAGACTGTTTCTACTGCTGCTGCATCCACTAACTACACCTACCCGAGCACCCTGCTTCTAGAACGTGAACATAAAGTTCAGGACTTTGCTAATTTCCCGCGCCCTCTTGCCGTAGGAGCTTTCACTTTTTTAGATCTCCTGGTCTATCTCTGCTTTCCTTTTCCAGCTTCCCTGCAGTAATTTGCTTGTCCGGAACCTTGGGAGTGTCTGCTACTCCCCACAGTGATGCCTGGGGAATCCCCACCTCCTCCCCTTGTGGACTACAGAGAATAACTCTGCTTCTACAGTCTCTGCTGGCTTTTTTTTTTTTTTTTAATTCAAAGCAATGGCTGGAGGGTGTCTCTTAAGAGTGCACTTGTAAGTACAAAGCCGGGACAGTGAGGTGGGGAGTGAGGAGGGAGTGTGGAAGACTTTGTTTGGGTTTGTCTGGGTGTCAACACACACCAAAGAAACTGATAATCTTACAGTCGGAAGAGTAACGCGAACTTCGGTCCGTATAGATTGCTGCCCAGTGTGCACGTGCTGGCACCCGCTCCTGCGGAAGGCGCCAGTAGCCGCTGTGTGTGCGCTGGGGACACCAAGCGGCCTGACATTCTCCGTTAGGTGCTGCTGTCTGCGGTCTGGCTTGCTCCTGCTCCTCGGGACCTGACTGGAATGCCCTGGGACGCGCAGGTGCTGCAGGAGACAATAGTTAGGCTTTGCAGAAGTCGCGGCGCTAGGTTACCTCGGAGCTCCTGTAGTCGGAGAGACAGATGAGTGGCGGAAACGACAAGGGGGCAAGGAAGAGTGAGGGCGCTAAAGGATGCAACAGACTGACGCTCTAGCAGGCGCTCCCCGTGGAACATGGAAGGGCAGTTTTATCTGTAGCATATGGACTAAAAAACAAAGCAAAACAAAGCAAAACCAAACAAACCAGTTGCAGTGGAGTCGATTCCGACTCACGCAGGACAACCCATGTGTACTGTCATCAACTAACTGATCCCTTCGTGCTTGTGCTTTTCAGTGGAGGAATAGCCCCTAATACTGCACTGGATTTGTCCTGCAGGACTTACAAGACACAAGGAAAGTTACCAGAACTTTTGAGTGGGTCCCAGTATAAATTTAGCACTATCTGTGACATCAGAGTTGTATCCCTTAAACTGTGGGGCCCCCAATGGACAGTTTAGGATTGGGCCCCCTGCGGCGCCTCTGCGAAGCTTTTACAGGGTTTTATTTGCTTTCTGAACTGACCAAATTGCTCCGCTGAGGTATAGGAAACCATACCTCAGCTTCTTGTCACTTGATTTTGTGGAGCAGTCTAGAGGTCCAAGCTTTGCCTCCTGTAAAAAGTCACTCTCAAACCCACCTCTCCTGCTGAGAAACCGGTTATAATCTTTGCTGTCTGCAGAAAGGGAAGTTATCTAGGTGCTCAGCTTGAATGTAAATTTCTAACCATAAGATGGGGATCACGAGGTTTGATATAGTTAGATCTAGCCTCTAATTTCTGAAGAACAGTTGTTTCATTTTCCAGTCCTTGCAGAAAGTTATTGATTTTTATTTCCTTCTTCCTTCAACTGTAACTTTTGAATGTTTGCATCTGCTGTTTTGAGGACTGTGTTGCATTTATAGTTTACAAAAGTTACCATGAAAGTTAACTACTGATTTAAGAGGGTGAAAAGCAGCTTTATCACCCAAGCCATTTTATTGTTTGTCAAACTGAATCAACCTCTATTTGGTGTCTTTTTCTCGAACCTAAAATGGGAATGGACATCATATCCAGTTAAAATAGAGAAAATATAAGAGGCAGTGTGGATGGTTTGTTTATGCATGTGTGACATTGATAAGGGGCTGTAGTAGAGAAGATAAGGCAGACTTCTCGAGTCCAACCTTAGTCATTGGAAGCATCAATTTCCTTTGTGTTCACAGTAATTAAAATAGAGCTATATGAGAAAACAAACATTTGTATATGGTTTACCAAACTTTTAGAACAAATTCTATATTTAAAATCATTTGGCAGATTTTAACAAGCTCTTAAAATAATAAATAAATAAATAAATGGAAATAAAATCTACTGAACTAACAGAAAAAAAAAAAAAAAATTTGGAACCAAAATATGCTCATCTAAATTATGTCTTGGCAAGCAAGGACTACGTTCTAAGTTTTGAGACTTGCATTTATTTTTGTCTTTTACAGAACTGTATGACAATGGCTTTTGGACATGTATTCCTCCTGCTTTGGAGGAATTACACAAGAATGAAGAAGGAGAATTCAGTTTGGGGTATAATTGACAAGGCAATAAATAAAGTAGAGGAAGATGTGCCAAAGTGTGGCATAGCTCTAAAGAGCCCCCGATGCTTTTTTTTTTTTTTCCTTTTAAAGTATTTGTATTAAGGCAAAGTATTTATGCATCAAAATTGGCCTTCATTTTCCCTGTGACAATAAAGAACCTTAATTATGGTAATGCTATAATAAAGTGATATAATTATACATGCATTTTATTTAAGCAGAATGTCTCCTTGTATTTCTGTGGATAATTTTAAAATTAGATTTAAAAAATTGATTATCAAGAGAAGATCCTGCTCTGCAGGTCAAGGGTCTGACATTTAGAGAAATAGCATTAGTTTTCAGCACTGAAACCCATTCTTGATGAGTGATTTATTTAAAAAAACATCCTGTATCAGAAAAGATAAAGTCACATCTCAGCGTTCATGCATGAAACCATGTATTTTCCCTGACTTCTGCAGATAAGATTCAGGCATCTATCTAATTAATAGGAACAGGGTGTGGGAACATGCCAAACAGAACTACAGCTTCAGCTAAGGGCAAAAGAGGCTCATGGACTCCTTTAAAAATCTTTTAAAATCTTTTTAAAGCTGTACTGTGTACTGTGCTGAAGCCTCTCCTCCAGCTTCCCTACAACTTTCAGCCAGGAGCAAATGGCCACTCTTGGTTGAAAAAAAGCAGCTCATCTGTATTGGTGTTTATCACTCAATTAAAAGTAAAGTCCTTGGATTTTAATTTCTACCTTAAAATTAATTCTCATGCTTCCCCCTTCTGGAAATCATCAGTGATACTTCTTGTTCCTCAAGTTGTATTTTCTTGAAATGATCGAGGTATGTAAATCCTTTCTGGTGTCAGAATGATCGCTGCAGGGCAAGATGAGCCCAGGTAACCCCAGGGGTTAACAAAGGTCAGGGCTATTATGGCCATACCAGAGCATACTCTGAGGCTGCCAGGAATCTGGATCAGGCCATGTATATCACATATATAATGACATACAGAGGCCAATAATTGAGAGAACAAGAGGTCATTTCAGATTCTCGGTTGAAAAGCATTACATAAATTTATGCCTGACTTTGAGTAAAATGCTGAAGTTGACACATTTGTTTTTTGAATTCTGAGTGTAACCCTCTAGGCCTTGTTTCTTGCCCAGGCACCTCTCTTCTTTCAGGAACATAGTAGTTTCATGTTTTCCACAAGTCTTTCTGAGGCCTCTATCAATACCTTAACTAAGAGAGTGAATTGTTATCAGGTACACCAGTATCATAATTAAGTCACTAACCATTCAACAGCTATCATGTGTCAGGCATTCTTCCATAATGCTGAAATACAGGGCTACAAATTAATATAAGGTATTGTAGTCACCCACCCTGAAAGAGTTTTCAGCTTACTTGGGTATACAAGAATAAATTACTAGAGGTAAGCAATCAGTCATAGTACGATATACCGAAACAAAACAAAACAAAAAAACCAAACTCACTGCTGTGGAGTCAATCTCGACTCATAGTGACCTCTCCTTGGTTTTCAAGGTGGTATCTGTAAGGAAGTAGATTGCTCAATCTTCCTTCCTGGGAGTGGCTGGAGGATTTGAACTACCAGCCTTCTAGTTAGCAGTCAAATGCTTTAGGCACTAAATAGGATAGATCATAGGGGCTTGGATCTATAATCATTCAGGGAACAAGTATCAGTTTGGGCTGGGGTGGGTCGGGAAGAGAGGATAGGGGAAAGCTGTGTAGAGCTGCAAGATTGAGTTTTGGAGAGATGAGGGTAGAAGATAGGGGTTGTGGAAAGATAGACCGTTTTATTATTATTATTATTAAAATAGTAAAAAGAAACAGACCAGCAAAAAACCCAGCCTTATTCCTTTTTACTAGCATTTGGGAAGATGGCATGAAATTTTACCCTGATTTTTTGGCTAGACTTGGTTGGGTATAGGGGTGGCAATCTTAGAGAAAGATGCAGATTCAAAGCCATCAATGTATTGTGTCAACTCAAAGCATCTGGAAAGAGGCAGAGAATATAAGTCTAAAGCCAAAGGGATGAGGACTGGAGAAACTATAAAAGAGAAAGAATTTTTTGAGCAAAATAGCAGAGTCTATGAGGAGAAAATCATTAAAATATTAAAAGAGCTAATTAGGGGTAGTTACATGACAGAATAATTCACATTGATGTAATGTCTGTGATATTGCTAAGTGATTGCCACACATAATACACTACTTAAATTCAAGGCAGCAGGTCTTTATGGAGAAGGAAATTAGACCATTTTTGTCAAAGCACAATATGCACATAGTGGTAGGTGATAACTACAGACAGATATGCTAGAAATCATTTGGGAGGCACTAAGTACCAGGTTAAACAGCTGAAACTTCTGTTTTAGTCAGTAGGGACCACTAATAATGAAAGCAGAAACATTCTGTTTGGG